TACAGATGCTGGCCCTGCCCATTGGGCTCTCTGTCCCCAGCTGTACTCCACGTCCCCAGGTGCTGAGCTCCCTGCCCTTTTCAGGCTCCGCATCTCCTAAAACATGATAGTATTAAAATGTGCATGAGATTCTGTCATTGATCTGTGTGGCGGGGTGGAGCAACCCCTCTATGATCCCAGGCCAAGAGAGGCCCAGAAGGGCAAAAGCACCGGTGTCCGTGCTGCAGGGAAAGCGACGGGGCCGGCTCTGGAGGTGCCGGGTGGGGAAGGAAGGGGGGCCACACGGAGAGCACGGACCCCGCAAGCTATCACGGGCCCGGCACAGGAGGATGACGTCACACCCTCCGGGTGTGTGACGTCAGATGGGCGCCCAGGGAGGTAAGGATGGGGAGCGGGGTGACATCACCCACTATGCCTAGGGGCGGATATAAAAGAGGGACGTCCGGGCAGGAGAGAGAGAGGGAGGAGCAGGAGCAAGAGTGTGGGGAGATGGAGGCACAGGAGGAGCAGGTGCCGGGGGACCCAAGCGCGGGGGCACAGTGGGCGCACCGTGCACCTGTGACCTGAGCCCGGGCGGCAGAGCTGAGCAGTGGCCCAGGGCGGGGTCGCAAAACCCGCAAGCAAATGTGTTTAGGGGCAACATCCCCGTTTGCTACAGTAGGGAGCTTAGCTCCCTGCTTAGGGCCCTGGGCCGGGGCCCGGGAAAGTGGGTGGACCCGGGCCTCCCTCTCTGCCATCTGAAGGTGACCCTCGAGACCCAGTCAAAGCGGTTGGCTGGCCCCAGGGTGATCTGCCAGCGTTTTGTCTCTGAACTAGATGGTGATTGGGTGTGGGGAAGTGCATGATTGAATAAAGGGGTGTAATTTGCATAAACTACGAGTGCAGACTCATGACTCAGATCCTCTGAGACAGGATTTTTTTTTAACTGACCCCTATTTTTCACAGGCTGCCACTTAGTAAAATTATCCTTATTTATTTACTACTGCTCTTCTTTCTCTGTCAATGACCGACAGTGGAATGTTCAGTACCATAACTCTAGTGAAAGTAGCAGTCATGAGAGTAAGCTTTTGAATTTACAAGAATTCTCAACTTTGCAGTTTTAGAGGCATTTTTGGTAAGTATCACATTTTGTAGTTTGATTTTTGTGTGTCACTAAAAAACACAGGGTTGGAGAGACCACATTAATCTGTAATTTTATTTTGAGATATTCTTTGTTCTGTTTTCTATTCCTGTTTGTTTTTATCTTTTTTGTATCTCGAAATATTTTGCATAAATTTTGAATGAACCAAGAGACTCTAGCTGAAGGAAGGCCTCATTCTGTCATCTTCACTCACCTTACTCCACAAATTGTTCTATTAATTTCAGTGGAATATCTCTCAGGGTGGGATTCACAAAGGTATTTAGGCCTAAAGTTGCATTTGTTTTAATGGGACTTAGGTGCCTAAGAATGCTACCCTAAGTTACTAGTCAGTGTTAACTAAAGGTGGGAGAATCTATCCCAGAGTCAACCTTTTTGAAATCCATGAAAGTTCTGGCATAGGTAAATTATATTTAACATGAATGAAGGTTGCAGAATCAACCCCATTGTTTCATACAAAAACACAGTTCACTGTGTATCTTTATGTGTGCATTTCTCATAGAGGCACTTAGTATTGGAATTGTGAAGCTGAAAGGTTAGCAAACTCTTGTAAGATAATTTAAGTGATTCTTATGAGAGGAAAACATTGATCTTACACTGTAAATCATCAATAAATTGCTCATGTGTGAAATAGGAAAGGCAACTCTGGGTCAGTTTCCAATAATTCATTCTTAGTTCCAACAGGCAATTTGGTAGCACCTGGATAAGTACACTAATTATTTGAGTGACTGCTATGGCTTGAAAATCAAAATAGAGATATCTTGGAGCTTCATATAAGATTGGCTTGAATTAGGGTTTTTTCATGTCCACTTTCAGAAAAAGAGCTCATAAGTCTTAGCAATTGTGCTTTCACTGTGACTGCACAGTCTAACATCCTATAAGTAACTAGAATAAACTTTAATGATAGCTCTGCGTTAGCAAGAAGATATGAACGAATATATTTAAAAAGCATCCAGGATTTATCATTTGAAAGACATGGGCCATATTATGCCATCAGGTTTTAAGCAGAATTTCTGTTGATTTCATGGAGGTGCTTAATTTCAAAGTGGATAGTGCATATCACATGATGCAGGCTTGCAAGACGATAATTTGGTACTGACACACTATGCATATTTCTACTTGAAGACACTAGTGTCCACTAACACTGCTGTAGTTATGGGCTATGAAGTATTAAGTTTAACTTCACTCTTTAAGGGCTTCATAATGAACAAGTAATAATTTGCTCTAGGCATGAAATGTGGTACTTTATATAAGGTGTCAGCTAGAGCAGTGGTTCTTAAACTTCATTGCACCACAACCCCTTCTGACAACAAAAGTTACTACATGATCTCAGGAGGGGGGACCAAAACTTGAGCCTGCCTGAGCCCATCTTCCTTGGGTGGGAGGGAGGAGCAACAAAGCTTGTGTACCACCTCCCTGGGCCTGGGATCGGAGGGCAAAACCCAAGGGCTTCAGCCCAAAGCAGGAGGCCTGTAACCTGAGTCCCTCTGCCCAAGGCTGGAGCTCTTGGATTTTGGCTTTGGCCCCAAGCCCCAGCAAGTTTCAACCCTCCTTGGCAACCTCATTAAAATAGGGTTGGGACCCACTTTGTGGTTCTGACCCATGGACTGGCAGGTGAAGGTCCAGCTGGGGAAGGCAGCTGAAGTCCCATCCCTTCTACCCAAAGCCTGACCCCTTCCCCTAGACCAGGGGTGGGCAATAATTTTTGCCCTGGAGCCACTTCACAAATTTTTGAAGTAGCCCCGGGCCACCCCAGAAGGGGCAGGGCCTAACCAGGAGGGGATGGAGCTACCCTACACCCGACCATGATTCGTCTGGCGGTGAGGGAGCCCCTTCCCCCCCCCTTCCCACTAGGATTTTGGCTTGGCACGCTCCACTCCCAGGACAATCAGGGCCTGGGGGCGGGGGAACGCTGGAAGCCTCCTCCTTGCAGGGCCAGAACAGGGGGAAGAAGGCTTCATGCAGCTCCCCTGCCCCAGGCCC